GCGGTTTCCCCTACCGGACTTGATACAGAGCTTGGCTGCCCTTGCTCTTTGCCAGTTGGTACGTCCCTCGTGCCGGCGGGGAAGGAAGAGACCAGCTAGGAAACTAGTAACAGATTGGTAGCCCTGTTTATTTGCAAGTAATGCAGAGCTGCCAGAAATGGAAAATCATTTAGCTTGCTGTACGCATAGAAGCACATAAAAATATTATTATTTAACTTGTATCTCATATAAAGACTCACTGGTTCTAGGTAGCAGACTTCACAGCTTCTCTTTGTTTGTTTGATTAGTCGTTCTGGGTCGCTCATACTAAGTGATGAACCCTCTTAAATATGTGTGTAAATCTTGTAGGCCTAGTTTTATAGAGTGTATGGGAATCTGCCTTTCTGAATTGCAAATTTCAAATTCCTGATTGCTCGATCTATTCCTATGACACACGTGCTGCAGAGAAGAATACAGTCTGAAAGTATCTGCTTGTAAAGGAGAATCTGCATATGGTTGCTGTTAGCTCATGCTTGTAGGCTTAACTGCATTGCTTCCGTTTTCCTTTAAAACCTCCTGAACTGGCCAGCAACACTTCTGAGAGTTTATGATCACCCGTGCACATCGGTGACTTGTTAAACTTAATTCAGTGTTAACCAATAGTAGGAGTTCCACAGAAGTAAAAATAAATTTCAAAATTCTAAGTCAGTCAGAAGATGGTTCCTCTTTTTAAGAGGCTGAAATTTTTACCTTATTCAGAAGTATTCAGAAATATCTCAGACAACACAGTTGTATACTGTGGAGTACATTTCTGAAAACTTTCTGCTTTCCTTTGACTAGAAAGCTGAGAGTGGTGCCTTGGAAGCAGAGATTTGTTCTTCCATCACTGTTGGCTAATATTACACTGTTGGTACTAAGCAGGCTTGTAAAACACCTTCATTGTTCTCAAGCCTTTTTACGGCTTGCCTATGGAAGTAAGCAGCACCTATTCTCCTACGGAACGGTCCAAACAGCAGTACAGACGTATTTCTGTAGAATAGGTGGTTTAAGGAGTAGTTTTCTTATTAACGCCTTTAACAAATGGATGTGTAGAATTCAAGTTCCCAAATCAATCATTATGTAACTTGCAAAATATGTTGTAGAGTATTAGCAAATACAGTAAGGTTGCACAAGTAATTTTTGTCCTGGATATCTCTTACTACATATATAGCATCTGTGTGAATTTAAAAATGCCTCTTCTATGTATTTGAAACTACTCTTAATGACAGAGCAGTAGAAGATGTTGAGAGAATTGCTGTTGCTAGTTTATTACTATTTTCTTTACTATGGTTATAGCCTTTATGTTTAGAAGAAACTCAGAAGGATTATGCCAAGAACAACAGTTTCTATTAGCATTGCACATGAGGACTTGCATTTTTAGTAATGTCTAATTCTTGCAAAAATACTAAAGTTTGCAGTTGTATTTTTCAGTTAGAAGCATTTCATCTTTGACAAGATTCTTTGCGCAAATTAAATGTGGTTTTCTTCTAAAAGGTGTGCCTGCTGCTTCTTTGGTAACCCCTGCTGATGTCATCAAGACAAGACTGCAAGTGGCGGCTCGCGCTGGTCAGACAACATACAGTGGAGTTATTGACTGCTTTGGAAAGATTCTAAGGGAAGAGGGCCCTTCGGCTTTTTGGAAGGGAGCTGGAGGTGAGAAATGCACTCGGAGTATTAAGGCTACCCCCAAATCTGCAAATTAGCATTTGCTTTGTTGAGGACTCAAATTAGAGTGGTATTTACCAGGTCTGGTCCTGAAAAACATAACATTTTGTTAAAAATGTTTAGCTTCTCTCCTGGGAAACTTTTTCTTTGTTTGACACTATGATTTATAATGTTTAACAGCTCGCGTGTTCAGATCTTCACCCCAGTTTGGTGTTACTTTGGTCACTTACGAACTTCTGCAGAGATGGCTTTATGTCGATTTTGGAGGCCTGTAAGTCAAATATTTCCTTTTTAGCTTGCACAAAAAATGTGCCAAGGTAAAACAAACAAACAAACAAACAAATTCCCCACAACTTTCTGTTTGTCATGCATGGGACCATTTAAACTTGGTGACTTTGAGCACCTGTACATAAAGTTACAGTATGCAAAAATCCCCCCATTCTTATATCAAGAGAAACTTGCATGCTACTTCTAAATGGATGAGGAGATAAAGAACCATTTTGTATTTATTTTAATACACTACATAAAACTTCTATGTCCACTGTAGCAAGATACTTTGTCCATTCTCCCCATGTCACTGGAATTTAAAAGAATTTACAAAGCTATCACTAAAAATGTAACTTCAGTCTTGGCCCTGATCTGCCATTAAGCAGTGGCCTGAACTCACAACTTTAACTGACCACAGACTTGCGTGAATGAAGGTCAGCTTTAACAGTTTTCCATACTCAGACAAAAGCCTTACGCATCTAGTCTAGATTTTGTAAAGCTCTTCAGAGTTAAGAAAACTCTTTATTTAAAGGAAAGGCTTTTTTTCTTTTTCTTTCTTCAAACAGCAAACCTTCTGGATCAGAACCTACCCCAAAAACTCGAATTTCAGATCTTCCTCCTGTTAACCCCGAGCACATCGGTGGATACAGACTCGCTACAGCTACATTTGCTGGTATAGAAAATAAATTTGGTTTATACCTTCCAAAGTTTCGATCTCCTGGCGTTGCCTCAGCTCAAGCAAAAAGTAGCAGCTGAATCCTGAAAAGATGTTTCAACCTAACACAGTGATGCAGTGGAAAAAGTTCACAAGAGTAGTACTGTATTTTTTCCAGTCAGCTGCATGTTGTTCTAGCTGAACTGAGCTTGCAAATCTAATTACTCCTTTCTAGTATTAATATATATACCTGCATTTATTTGTTTATTTGCACACAAGGAACTGATTGAAGCTGTGGTTCTATGCCTTGTTTTAACCAGTGGCATGAATCTGTAGCCTAGACTTTGCCTTGCGCAGCTCATGGTTAATGTTACTGTACATATTGTACATCTTTGTACAGAGACATCACAGCACCTATACACACGTTTATATAATGGGTATTGCGGTTCAAAATAGTTTGAAATGTACAGAATGTTTTGAAGGCGTTTTGTTAACAATCGTGACAATAAAATATTTAAAAACACTTAAGTCAGTTCCCTTCTTTGTGTTTGTAGAAAAGTTGTCCAGTGTGATTCCCCCCCCACCACCACCAAATGACAGATCAAAATTTAAAGATTTGCTGCACCCATTTAAGGAATGGGCAGGACAGGACATAGCCTCTGAAGGAATGCATTTCACTGCTAGTTGCAGCAAAGCTATTAAAATGCAATGTGCTGGCTTTTAAGTAGAAAAGAGCACAGTAATTAGATGAGCACATGCCATACTTTATTTTGCAGAGCTACCTTGTAACAAGGAGTTCCCCCGAAATACACGGTAATACTAAACCTGTAACAGATCTGACCTCTATGGTAGCATATTTAAAACACAGTGAGATATTTGCCAGTTATTAGCAGACTCAAGAATCTTTACAGGATTACACTCAGAATGCTTGTTTTCCAGAATGGAAAACTTTTTATAACAAAAATTGAAGGCATTCTCTTTATTTTTAGATTGTTTTACCATTAAAAGATTAGGTTTTTCTGGAAAAAAAAAAAAAAAAAAAAAGAGACTTGCTTTTATATTCTTTCTATATGGAAACCTGATTTTTTAGACTTCCAGTTGAGTGGAATGCTAAGTAAAAGGAGAAGTTAACTATTTCTGGCTTAATGTCTGCCAAAAGTCTATCTGGTATAATTTTCAAATACAAAAACATCAGAGGAAACAGGGGAGTCCAGATTCCTACAGCCCATGGGGAAAGGTTGTTACACTACCCCTACAGCCAGAGAAGAGATGGTGGGTTTCCAGCCTTACATACCGAAGTACGACAACCTCCAGTCTTCAGTTTTACATGTTTCTTTCAGGGGTAAACATCCTGGAGTACAGTGTATCCCAGTGGTATGGACTGATTTGAGGCTCTCTATTTTCTTGCTCAGGTGACAGCAGGCCAAGATGAAGAGTTTTAGTCAGCTTATAAAGAACAGGCTTCTTAAAAACCAAACACTACAAACACAGACAAGCCCTCCTTCAGTTCTAGCCTCTAAGATGCAAAAACCTTTTGGTGCTAGATAATATTTAGCAAGGTAGAGGTCACATTATGTTGAATGTGGAAGTTTGATCCCTATTCTGCAACATGCATATATGTAACCCTGTTAGAAGGCTTCCTGTCTTTATTTGTTTGGTTTTTTTTTCTCCTGTTTAAAGAATTACCTGTTCTGTGCAGTTACCTAGAGCCAGGCTTCCCAGGAACTGTCCCCCATATCTATATATTTTGTTCTATGCTTTTCTAAATAGATACAAAAATGGTAGGTACCCACTGGCATTTCATCTTAGTCACAGCTTGTTGACTGACTTGATCAAGGCCTCTGGAGACTTTACAATGCAAGATAGCATTTGTATTTCTTACAGCTCCAAAACTGGACCGTGTGGCTCCCAGGATGATCATTTGCAGCTTCTAGCACCACTGTTGGTCTCTTAGTGTTGCAGGTATGAGTTTTACAACATTAAGCCATATTCAACTGTTTTGTGAGGGAGGAACACAAGCAGGAATCAATACAGAATAGTTTTGTTGAAAATTAGTAAAAGGTTGACATTATGTAAGACTAAATGCTGTATGACCTATGTGTTACATCACAATCCATTGATTGTGGATTTCTGAAAATATGCCTGAAGGAAATGTATTATTAAATGAGAAATAACAAACTCAGTAAAAAAAAAAAGAAAAAAAAAGTCAAAACAAACAAAAAACCCCTCAAACCAGCAAGACAACAGAACATTCTGCTCATTAAGAATTCTTGTGCCTAAAGGGTAAAAACCATCACATGATGCACCTGTTCTTGATACAGTTCATGTTTCTCAATCGAACAGATAGCTGCTGTCGCAAGGCTTAGGAAAATATACAAGGCAAACATCAAACCGAACAACAGGACTTCTCACTGAAAAGAGGGGGGGCTTTTGACAAGCCCCCACCAGTGGAAGCCTAAAACACATTTCACTTTCAAACCCACTGAAAGAGAGAACCTCCTGAAGATGGAACTGCTGGTACTGCTGCCTGTGTCTCTGAGCTGCTCGTAACAGAACCGAGACAAGGAGAACTAGGAAAAAAAACCACCCTCACAAAACAACAAAACCTTAAAACACCAACAATGAAGAAACAATAGTAGTCCTGGCCAAAAATCTGATTAATGAATATAAACTTATTTCCTACTTTTAAGCATATAAAACAACTCTTCTGGCAAAATGCTAAGCTTGTAGCAGATTAAGAATACCAGAAACAAACCTAAAGTCCTAAGGTAAAGGCATCAGTACTGGTTTAGTGCCTAACAAGTATAAGTCAGCATATTTACTAAAAAAACCCAACAAAACAAAACCAACCAAAAAACCCCACCCCAACCCCCCCAGTCTTAATGGGAAATTTTGTAATGTCCCAAGAAAGACGTACTCAAAACATTTAACCTTTAACAGAAATTCCAACCATTCTGTTTCAAGCCATTTAGAGGTTTTGTTTCAATAAAAATGTTAAAAAGCAATGAAAACATGTTTCTTTGACTTAATATGGAAAATTAGTAGCAAGTCTGTAGTTAACAGAATGCAAATCATGATGCTGTAGAGATTAAGTCAAAATCTAGTTCCTCATCCTTTGGAAAAGAAAAATTTGACAACAGTAGCCTTTGTCCTTTTGTCTGTTTGCCACGATAGGAAGTGGAGGCTGGGGTAGAAAAGAACTCTGTGATGTGTGTAGTAAAATGAAAGCAGCAGCTCTCAGAACCTTCTACTCTCAAACTACTGAAGGGACACAGATTAGGGGTCAGGGCAGCTGATAAATACTCAGATAATATTTATTTATGAATCAGTCTCACCTTTTAATGCACCGATTCAAACAAAACAACTTGGTATTAAATATGTATTTCATTAATTCAGGTCCAATTATCAAATAAGTTCATAACTACAGACAAATTTTTATTCACATATATTACCCACTACCAGAGCCTGAGGCTTATCTATATATAAACTATGAAACTTACTTGGAACATATGCATGCATATCCATGGGTAATTTGAAGAGTTCAAATTAAAGAATGCTTCAGAGATTTATTACCTGATGAAGGTTAGTCTGTGTAATATAGAAAGTTTAGTTTAGAAACAGAACTTTTCAGAAATAGATGCTGTTACAAAGTGGAAATTTCAGAAGCCCAAGAGCAGATTTACACCAGGTTAGTGTTTCAGCAAAAGAAGTTCCTTGCAAAGTCAAAGTTAACTGTATTAAAAGTTACACAAATCTAAGAATGTGCTCGTAATTGATATATAAAAAGTAACAATGCAAGATCTGTTTTTCCGCGATCTTAATACATTTTCAAAGTCCACAGTTGAATCCATATATTCGTCCCTTAAGCTATTATTTGAACTGACACATGCTTACACTTTTAAGATTTGCATCAAATCATTCACAAGTCTACCATGGCTGCCTATTTTTAAAGATCTATGCCGGTATGCGGGTTGCAGCTTCCTCTTCCGCGTCAGCTCTGTTAGCGTTTATTTCTGCTAGCGTTCGACCAAATCGAGTCCACTCATCACTGCGAGGAACGGCAATTTGCTGTTGACAAAGAGAAGGTTATTTAAACCTACTGATAAACAAAACCTGAGCTTATTTTGAACAACACAGTGCTTAAGGAATGTTCAGAAGAGGTTCTGATAGAAAAGCTTACCTTTATTTAGTGTAACTTTTAAAATAGCTTGAACATCAGAAGCTCTAACTAATAAAAGAAGCTGAATTTGAAAATCCTATATTTAAGCACATAATGATACTACTACAAGTTTGCATGATTGGTCTCCGTCTGAGAGACTGCCTCCAAGGGCAATACTAATGCCATGTCCTCATCCAATCAATGAGTTACGTACTGCTGCTGTACACATACTTGCAATAGCAACGGCTTCCCTGTAGGAATGAAGTCAAGACTGCTTCACTACAAAATCTGTTGTCTGCTACTTCTCAAGCTTTGCTCAGAATCCACATGTGCCACAGTTACAAAGATAAAATCTCTACAAACAAAACCATTGGATTCTTTCATCTTATTTCACCAGCCTTACAATAATGTTTTTACTTTTTGATTGGCTGCTGGATAGCATGCTAAAAAGTTATGCTAAAGTACCCAAAATAGACACAAAAAGGAAACATTAATTTGAAAATAAACATTAAACCTTATTCCTCTAATCACAGGGGAAGAAAGTTAAAAGCAAATTGCTAAATAAAAGTCAAAGAAACTTGAATGGTTTGTAATGTACTTTGCACTGTACACGGTATACATACCTCTCCCACGTCATATATAACAATTTGTCCTTCTGAATCACCTACAGCAATCTCTCTCCCAGAATGCGTCCATCTCACACGGTTTAGAGCAGGATTGCCCTCCACAGTAATGCTTGCAGTTGGCACCTGTTTCCATTTAGAACACATTACTAAAAATGCATGAGGATTCCACAAGCTATAGATTACAGAACGCACCTCGTCCCTCAGTGTTGCATCAAAAGAAGTGCCCAACATTTCAACTGAGGCAGAGCACATAAATCTCCGACTCTCAGTGCCCTTAAGCTATCATCAGCGACATGACCAAACCCACACATCTTCTGTCCCTTGGCCAAAGTACAAACATCCTCTATCAAAAAGCACATCTGCACTCTTACTGTGAGACAAGAGGCATAGGTATGCATTCAGCCAGACAGCAAGGAGGAACCTTGGGATCTCAAGAAAGATTATGACAGAGGGCAGGGATGAAAATCAGCTGCTTTGGCAGATCAAATTCTGTCCAAAGCTAGAACCAGGTAATTCCAGTTTGAAGCTATAGGCTGGCATACGCTCCTACAGAACTGCTTTCTTCTATATGCAGTGTTAAGAAGGTAAAATACAAGTACAGAGTATCTGTCAGGTTATTCCTCTCACCTACCTCCAACAAGTTTAAGTCTTGGAGAAGATTTATACTATAATTAAGTTTATAACTCACACCAGAAAACCCAAACGTTCAATTCCCTAAGTTTAGAAACAAATTACAATTTCACTGCAGTATTACTATAGCAATAGTGATATGGCGATCAGAACAACAGTGGTGCCTGAGTAAGAGGCTTGTTCACACTGTTAAGCTGTAGGCTGCCAAGGCCATACCAGGCGAGGTCTATAATCACTTTCACAACATGGATCCGTGTTACACTGACAGATGTTTTGCACTCTCGTTACAGACAAAACAATTTAATTACCGCTATTATTTATTATGAGGAGTCATTTGAGTTACAGCCCCATAATCAATGATACTATTACACAGAAACTACTGGAACTACAATAATATTTAAGAACAACAACAACAAACCAAACCAAAATGCTGTGGTAAACTCCTGGCATTTTTTTCCAAAGTGTACAAACACTTTTCCAGCTACATTTGACTGTTAACCTGACTGCCTCACCTCAGTATCGTTGTTGAGGTTCCACAGGTCAAGCCTGCCCATCCCATCCACACAGGCAAACAAGGCAGGGTGAGTTGGAGACCACATCACATCGTAAACGTAATCTGAGTTGTCTTCAAAGGAGTAGAGAGGTTTGTTATTCTGAAAAAGCAAACATAACGATGCAATACCCAAACTCTGCACTTCAAAATTATAAAGCTAATGGGTAAAGCAAAATACAGAACTTCTCAACAGCATTATCAGCAATAACTAAAAAGTGATTCACATTTTTACTTACTTTAAAAAATGGCTCTGCAAAAAGCAGCCCAAAATTAATGCTTTTATTAAAGGGATGCTTTCCAAAGCATGCAGCCTTTTTGCTGGCCGCTGCTATAAAACAATCAGTAGCAAGCCAATATTGTAAGAGATTGTAAGTTTTATGTATTAAGAATCTTGCAAATCAAGCCAATGATAATTCAGTGACAGCATTTCAGACTATTACTGGGAGATTCTAAACTGCTTCCTCTGCTTTGCATTCCTCAGGGCATCACGCTAAGAAAGAAAGAGGTAATTCTGGCAATGGGAATGATAGATATTTCAACTGTGAGCCTCATGAGTTTAACTGACATCAGCTTTGGTGCTGTCCCTTAATCCTCCACAAAATTGTAGCAAAACATTTGCTTTATGCATAATATGAAGTAACTGATTTTACAACATGATTTACATACGGTGACATTGTAATTGTTGTTGATAAGAAAGGGCAAAAGGATGAACAGAATGGATCAGAAATATATAAGTGATGTACAATCTGAAAGCAAAGCTTTATGTTGTTAATTATAGTTTTGTTCATCAGCTGTCTCCTCTTTGCAGGACTGCTGCTAGGAACCTAGAGAACTTCACATGGTTTAACTTCAGTTTACTGAAGTTTCTTACGTAGCTTACATTATAGCACCACCTTGTGTCAAGGACTACGAAGAGAACCACTGAACTATCTATTTAAGTTACCTTAGTTGTCCAAAGCTTTACTGTCCAGTCAAAAGAAGAGGTGACAAAAAGATGTGAGAAGTCTACAGGTCCAACTGCTGCATGGCAGTTGATACCTGTGATTGGTCCCTGGTGTCCTTCAAACATCTCACTGATTCCAGCTTTGCTGTTTTAGAATAAATTAACCAAGGTTAATTTATATGGAAACCATATATCTGCAGACAAAGACAGCACTGAAATGCAATTTAAATACAGCCACAAGAAGATTTTGCTGCTTTGTATGGATGTTACCCCACTGCAAAAGGCTTCATCCCACCAGGATCTTCACACCGAAGACCAGGCTTGAATACGGACTTTAACGTTGACATCTATTTTCTGCTATCCTTATGTACCAAAATATAACACAGGGAGAAGAGACTCATTGAGCAGGTACCAGTCCACACATTTAACTACATTGTTCTCCAAACAATAGCTAAAACTTCCATTCATACAAAGAACAAAACCCAGTCCTCAGGAACAAGCATAAAACTCCCACTGACTTAACAGAAGTTGCATGTACCTTATGGACACAAAGTTCAGACATAAACCAGTAACAGTATATCCCTAATAGACTCCTATCAGAAGCGATGAAAAGAAGGGAGGAAAAGATGGGAAGGATGTTACACAAAAGTGATACAATTTGGGGTATTTTGGAACCAAAAAGCTGTGCAGCAAGGGTGATGTGTATTTGAGATGAAACCTGGACACTCAATTATATTTAAGAAAGCAATTGATAAGATACGGTCAGACAATTTCAAAATAGATTGAACAGCAGGAGAAAAGCTAGCCAATTTAAGATTTGTGCGTGATGTTACTGTACAATTATCTATAGAACCCATAGGAAGTTTGGAATGTTCTGCTACAATTCAAATGAATAAAACTGCAGCGACCTAGGCTGCCC